TGCATACTGGTCAGTTCATATACGTCGACTGCACGGAGGAGGAGAGGGCCATGCCCACGACCATCGGATCACAGTTCGAGGCGGAGCGTGCTCTGGCCGAGCTGAGGACCGTGAGTCGCGTCGTCGGTGACCCGCGTGATTCCGAGGAGTACACGTACTGGGAGACATCCTCGCATGACACTCTCGCCTACGCCTTTTACAGCGTGCCGGATCAGTACAGGAATGTCCCAGCAGTGAAGTCCGCCTCACGCATTTTCGACCAGATTCCCGACGGCCAGCTCGTGCGACCGGACAAACCGGAGCCTGCGGTTCTCCGCCTCAGCGCGGTGAAAGGCACTGATGACACCCGGAGGAACCTCGAGAGGCTGAAGGAGGAGTCCATCAAGAAAAACGTGGTCGGCGCCAGGAGAGGCGAGGATATCGCCCCCAGGATCGGAAACACGATCACTACTCTGTGCGCCAAAATCGGGGACATTGCCCGATTCCTGGAGATGGGAGTGAGATCCAGAGCAGGGCCTATCCTCCCGACCAGGAGTGATCCTGACCTGATGATCCAGGCCATTGTTCCCGCACCCGAGGAGCTTCTGGACTACTTCGCCGACGAGATCCGTCAGAAGGTGAAGGGTAGGACGGGCGCCTCTTCGCACTACTACAGGAGAGCATGCGCGGAAATACGCGACGCGCTCCGTGGAACAGCTGTGCAGCCTGGAAATGCAGGTGCAGTCAAGGACCCAGAGTTGGAGGCCTCGTCTGCCAGCGGGCAAGGGAACGTTACTTCGGTGATACAACTGAAGAAGTTCCTGAGCCACTACTTCGGGACCAGCGTCGAGTCTGAGGATGCTTTTTCTTCGTACCTCCTGTCTTCCTTTCTCGAAGATGGGGTGGGAATGTTCGAGATCATCATCACCGTCATTCGTGACAAGGAGCGTCGGTTGCTGCCTGGTTCCGCCCGCATAGCGGCGGTAAGGTCGCTTGAGATCGGATCCGACACTGATTACCGGGCATTTCGTGAACGATACCAATACATGCTCTACGAGAGCCCTGTTTGTCTTCCTATCACCTCCAAGGTGGTTCCCAAGACACTCTACAAGGTGGTGCCTCTCCGTGGGCGAGCTCTGATCGAGCTCCTTCCCTCTCGGCCGGATGAATATCAATCCCTCCGCGATCACGGAGAATGCCCCAACGACACTGTCGACCGCATCACCGACAGCAATGTGACGGAGCTGCACACCTCGGGTCGACGCCAAAGGAGCGATCCCCGATATGTGGTCATGGCTATCGATGCACGTTTCTTCTCCATGGAAAACGGGGGCATGCATATTACTCGTCAGGGTACCTTTGCATCGCGCGAGAACATCGCGATCGGGTACTGGAGATGCGTCTACTTCAAGGAGGACTGCTCCATCATTTACCTGAGGCCTTGGTGCTATCCGCCCAACTTCCTCAACTCCGTGAGTGATAACCCGAGGAAGTGTCGGGACGAGATGGAGAAGTATCATCAGATCACCAAGGCGGAACATATCCGCGAGGTGGTGTCCGTTCCGTGCCATAGGTGCATGACGGCCCACCCGGTCGGCGCTCACCTGTGCACCGCCTGCTACCTTCCCATCTTCTATGAGGGCGTCCTGCCCACCGGAGACACGAACGGCGGCCCTCGCACGATAGCGAGCACCGACGGGGTGATTCCTCCCTGGCTGGCAAAATACGAGGGCTTCGTCCCCGCTCTGTGGAACAACGCAGACGCCAACGCCATCGGAATGGCCCTCTACTCGCAGAGTCCCGCCGTCGATGCCCGGTCCTTGTTGATGTCTGGGATGCGGCCTCCTAAGTACCTTGACAAAGAGGACGTGGATGGCATTTTCCGAAAACTTCACGACTCGCTCCGAGACGAAGTCCTTGACGGCAAATACCGTGACACGGTCGACCACAACGTGGAAGAGTGGGTAGCAAAGGCGATCTTGGTAAGGGGTCTTGCCTTCAACGGGAGCTCCGTCCCCGAATTCTTCGAAGAATATGAGGGATATGCGGCTGAGTGGGGCAGACGCCTAACCACCGCAAACTTCAACGCCAACCGGTGCGGCTTTTACACGTCCTACTACATTCTTGAGGCCCATATCATTGGGCTGAGAACAGGACACCTTTCTCCGATACTCCCCAACGATGTGTCCGGGGAGGGGTTCAAGTTCCAGGTGGGGCTGCTCGCACAGCACTGCGGGATATTGCAGGCCATGCGGAGAAAGGCCGGGTTCGATCCTGCCGCGCGCCTCAAACGGGCTATGGACACGATACGGGAAGGCATTAAGAAGGGGTACGTCTACACCCTCAACGACCTCAGCAGTATGGACGATCTGATCTACCGGACGTCCACCGTTGCCTACGACACCTGCTTGGCCGACCGTCCTCAAACCCAGGATGACATCAAACAGGAGCTGTCCGACCCTGTACCAAGGAAATACCGCTTCCGACCCCGCGATCGCCATCGACCCGGAATTCGCCTTACACCAGGCCCCGGCGTGAAGGACGAAGACGAGCCCGACTTTGCTGGATCAGCGGAGGATGAGCTGGGATCGGATGGTTCTTCGCACGAAGATGACGAGAAGCCTGACGACCTTGACGAGCCCATGGGCGACGACGAGGAGGAGATCCCTCCCCCTCCGCCACCGCCCCCGGCTCCTCCTGCGCCGCCTGTCCCGGTAGAACCGGAGACTCCCGCGGTGTCGCATGCAGGCGTCAGTTCTGGCGATGCTGTGCCAACTCCTCCTCCTCCTCCTCCCGCTCCCATTGCGGCAGGCGTTACAACGACTGGGGATCCGTTTGAGGAAGAGGACATGGCCATCAATACTCGTGTCCCTGACACCGAGTCCGAGCTGGAGGGTGCCAAGGCCAGGAGGACATCTCGTGGTCGGGTCCCCGCGCCCGAAAAAGGGCAGGGGGGCGTTCAGGTCCCGCCTAGCGGGCAACCCAGCTCTAAGAGCATGGCCCAGCCTGCCCGTCCATCCCCGGTCCCCGCGAGAAGCGGTGTGGAAGGTGGGGAGAGAAGGGGCAGGACCAAGGGTTTCTACACCCAGAAGGATCCTTTTACCGGCGAGGACGCGACTCCCCGAGTTCGTCTTCGATCGGGCGGTCCCGGAACTCCTGCGTCCCCACCACGGGATGCCACCGGTTCCTTGGGCGGCCATGGCGGCTATGACCCGCGCGATGACGACAACGACGAGTGGGAGCTTCCCCCGGGTGTGCCTCGGACCACTCGTGCGGCAAATGAGTCGCGGCCCCGCCGAGATGACGATCGGTCGAGGACCGCGCTTGGGGCCCGCGAGGATCGTCGCGGTCCTAAGGGTGAGGGGAAGGGTCGAGGAAAACATCGACCTGGCAAAGGTGGACGCGAGGATCCTGGCCCGCCCCGACAAAGGGATGATCGTGGCAGGGATACCCGCGGAGGCCGACGCGATGATCGCCGACCTCCTCCACGTCATGAGGAGACCTCCGAGAGGCGCGGTCCGGGGCGAGATGAGCGCCGCGGACGTGATGACCCGGGCGATGACCGTCGCGATCGCCACCGGGACCGGCGCAGGGATGACCGACGTCACCAATCAGATCCCCCTCCGCCTCGCCGACCTCCGGCTGGTGACCACAATAGGGGTGGTGGTGAGGATCGCCGTCGGGATGGAGGAGGTGATCGAGGTGACCGTGGTGGACGCCGGAGAGACGACGTGCCCAGGGACCGGGAAGAACCTGGTTCAGGGTGGTAGGCGGGTACCGCAATCAGCATCCGCCTTAGAAGGGCGAGGATAGTACGTGTGTCGCCGAAAAACGCGACCGCGCCGGTCCTCCTCTCGCCCATGCGGCGCTGCTGGGGGTGATGGTCTCCATTGCCCTGTACCGCTGATCCGGCGTTGCTCGTGTCCCTCCCGCACCGCTGCCGTGCGCGCCGGAGACGGTTCCCCTGGCGATCCTGTGTGAGGCTGTGACCGCACTAGAAGTGCCGGGCCGGCCGTAGCCGGATATTTTCACACCAATTTCGGAACTTCCGTTTCTAATTTCCTCCCAACTCGACTACTCTTCCAACCACTCCACGGCGTGCAGTGAGGCGCGGTGATCCAGATAGGGTCCCCCTCCGCATGGTGTCGTCCTATGACAACGCATGAACGGCACGAGAGGAATCTTCGTCTGGTTCCTCCAATATGTCTTTGTTCACTCATGTGGTCCACTCGTCAAATAATCCTGTCGCCCCGATAATTCGGGGTGGTGGCGGGATTTTAACTGGGGCCCAGGTGATGCCGTTTGGCTCACCTCTGAGTTGACACCGGCATTTTTGGTTGGTCCCTTTCGTCGTGAACTCAACTGTCTCGCATCCTTTCTCTCGTCCAGATATCGGATGAGGGGGGTGTGTTTTGTTCACGTGTTGTTTCATCATGTGGCAAAACGGCCGAATGGCCGTTTGGCTCAAGTTTAAACCTCCCGTCAGGGGTCCCTCGGATCTGCGTGCATCCGCCATAGCACGGCGGCTTGCGTCATCACCGGGAAAAGGTCCTGGTGCTGCCGCGGCCGGTGTTAGGTGGTGGGTGGCTGGTCGTCGAGGACTTCCTGGGCCTGGTTCTGAACTTCACTTTCTGTTGTAACCTGTTTTCCAACCCTCCCAAACTTGATCTTCTTCAACTGTCACTCCCTCAACCTGGTCATCAGCAACTTCACCATTGTGCGTTGGGACTGGGTTCTTTTGGTATTTCGTGGATCACGTGTACCTCTTTGATTCCCTGGGCTACTTCGTGTTCGCCCAAAACCGCACCTTTGAACCACGCTTAAAAGGAGTCCTCCACCGACAAGATAATGTCATGCTGAATGCTGACCCAGCATTATATTAATAAATAAGTGCTCCCCTCCAAAAGTGATGACCCCCCACAAAAACGGGGCACTGCCTTCATTCACCAGGGCTTCAGCTTCATCCGGGGAGATCCCATGAAGCGGGCGGATGCCACAATCGAGGGATGCGTGGCAACGAGGTTCCACGAGTGGCCGGCGGAGGCCCTGTACTCCGTGGCCAAGCAGCAGATCACCGGCCAATCCGCCGGGGCCTCCGAGAACAAAAACGGCCTGGGGCGGCTGGAAGGTTTCTTTGGCGCATTCTGTTTGGATGTCAGGACTGAACAACTTTTTGCCAACAAATTTGGGTTTTCCGTATTAAACCACCAAAAGTTATTCACTTTTAGCAGGGGAGGAAAGCAACCAAGGTTTATTGGGGTCAGTTGGGCTTGTCGGTGTTCCAGAAATGGCCAAGGACCTTTTGGGGGGGAGGGGGGGGGGCGGAGCAGCTGGGAGGCTTGTTGGGGTCAATTGGGCTGCGTCGGTTCCGGCCACAAGCATGGCCAATCCCCAAGAAAATGGCCAGAGCTCTGGGGGAGCAAGGTACAGGGGGAGGTCTCGCCTTTCTGTGAAGCGTGAAAAGGGCCAATATGCCTGTTTACACTTGCCTTCTCAGCGTTTACTCCATTTCCATTTCTGGACCCTTCAAAACTAGGATTTTGCCTAAAGAGGGTCCAGCTGACTGGTTCCACTCCTAGCCAGGGTGGGGGGGGTGGCGTAAAGAGGGTCCAACATGAAGTCGCAGCTTTTGAAGAGAACCTCTCCCGCACCCCTGGCCACCACACGGTCGGACTCTGACCCTCAGCGAAACTTCCAGGTGGAGCTCCCGAACTTGGAAGGCTCCTTGAAAATGCCCGAGGCCCCAAGGTTTTTCGCTCGGCTTTCTTCGCTTGGGCCGGTCGGCGTTCGGTGCGTTTGGAGTTTGCGAAACGGCCAGTTTCGGCCTCTTTTTTTTTCCGGGCCCCGGACCTCACACAAATTGTGGCTTAGCTTTGGTTTCCCTCACTGGCCGGAAAGAGGGCACCCTCGCAAAGATATCCTTTTTGCTTTTGCGCCGCTCTTTTGTGGGTCAAAGGCGGAGAAAAGGGGCAAGCGGTCCAGGATGCTTGCTGTTCAATTCCCTCCCAAAGTGCGACTGACACGTGGAATTTTTGTCAGCGGGTTGTGTTCCCATTCTAGGCCCCCCATCTATGTGCCAACTTTTACCGTTTCTTTTTTGGGGGCATGATATCGGCCTGCCTTGGAATACCAACCAAAAAGGGTCCACCATTCTGAGAACCGCCCATGCGACCGGATGCTTGGGAACGTGACAGTCGGACGTGCGTTAGAACTGGCAAGTCGAAGCAACCGAAACTTGCAGCTGGTAGTTTCTGACACCTGCAGGCCAACAGAGTCCGAATGGACGTCTCGACTTTTTTACCTCACCTCACCACAGAATTTGGGATGCGCTTGCAATGTGCAAGTCTGTCATTGGGTTTCCTTCATCGCTTCCCAGAAACCTTGGAGAACACCGATGGACATGTACACCCTCCAAATTAAGTTGACACGGTCAGAGAGGATCCCCTCAAGCGCAAATCCGCAGGGGAGTCACATGATAGACCCTGCAAACCTTTGCTTCCAAGGGTTGTTTGGATCACGAGTTTTTCGCTGACGGAAGGTACAAGTCAAGAAGCTGTTGTTTTGTTATTTGTAGCCTGAAAATCCTGACAGATTACACAGAATATAGTTTGGACGTCAGAATCCAATCACGCCTGCGTGGCTATGTCATATCATATGTGATTCAAAGCTGTAGGGCTAATACAGGGGGCTAAACAACTATGGACAGTTGCGTGTTGTTGCACTTGCAACTCATGATGGGTCATATGATCCGAGTTTCAGTGTCTGTTTGTTTCTCAGTTTGAACTCGCCATGGCTTCCATTTGCCGCCGGAGGTACGGCTCAGTGGTATGAATCGTTTTTCAGGGTTTTCTAGACTTGGTGGCTCCCAGCCATCCGGTTCCTCAGCTTGTTTAGCCTGTTAGTGTTTCGTGGTAGTTTCTATTTCACCCACTAAAAGTTAAGCTTTTAGCGGGGGATCAGAAAACTGGCAGCCCAGTATAGTTCCCCTTTTGGTGGTCTTGGTTCCTGAGCTCTGACCTTTCTACTTTGGGTTGGTCACACCCCGCCCGGGAGAAATCCGACACAGGAGGTGAACGCTTCCGGATGTTTGCACTGACTTCCGCAGGTAGGCCTTTGGAATGAACACGCTACGCATATGTTACTTTGGCAGTCCCAGGTACTACCCCCCCCCCACCGCAAGGGTGATGCTGGATACATCATTTGCATTTGGTGGCAGCATATGTTTACGTTGGGCAAGGATCCTGCACGCTGCTCACGCAGATGTCGCTCTCGGGATCTGAGGTTCCAGACGATCCACCAGAGCGTGGAGTCCTCGTCTAAGAGGTTCCTGCAGACAACCAACCGCAACGTCTATGTGCGGGATCCTAGCTGTCTTCCCAGGAAAGAAGTGACTTGCTCGCAGGCGTGAAGGAGCAAATGAGCGCGTCTCAAAATGGGGGAGCCCCAAAGCGCTGCTTTCTTTGATTGTTTCCATTCAATCACCGAACAAAGGGTCCACTATCGTCAGAAGCACCCAAAAGGGCGGGCCATTCATTCTTGCTTCAACAAGCAATGAGCGACATCGTGGTTTCCAATGACGATGCTTCTGATGAAAGGTCCGGTCATTGCACGATATAGCCTCCCGAAAAGAGATGCACCTTCCAACATACGGGGTAATCAACACTAACCCGCGTTTGCAGAAGCGGAGGCTTGACACATACCACGGCCCTCGCAAAAAAGCCGGCCACTAACAGTGATCCAGGACCTTGCTCTGGCGCATGAGTGTTGGTCTGCAATCTACCGCTTTTGTGCCCAGAGTCGCCCAAACAAGGTGTTTTACAAGGTTTGCTTTGCGCAGTGCTGCTGTTTCCCGGAGATCAGTGGCTGAACCAGGGAAAGCGAACAGGCGTCCTTGGGGGAAGGCCATGTTTCAAGCATGTGGGCGAGCTTAGTTGAGCTGGTTTGGGCCCTGTCTCCAAGACTTGAGGGTTGAAAAATCTGTGTACCCCAGTGGGCCAAGTTTTTCTTGGCGCGTCTTGATGCAAGGAGTGCCAGGGAAACATGTTGCGTCAAGAAGCAAAGATGTGATGATGTGGCTCAGTGCATCAGCCTGGAAAAAGCGATTCATTGGCTGCGACTCGTGATTGAGAAATCTGAAACGTGCACGTGAATTACCTGAAGTGATCAGTGGGCTTTGTTCATGAAACAAGTTGGATGTGGGCATCTTGGATAGCCCATCCTCCCCAAATATGGAGCCAAGAGAGCTGCTTTTAAAGGCAAAAGAAAGGCCTTCCAGGCTTCCAGGGTCAATTTTTCAGTAGCACACCATGTATGCAAAGTTTCGGTGCCCTCTTTTGGCCTCCTCAAGTCTCGGGCCATGCGTCAGACTTCAGGTGACACCTACGAGCTTCCTAGAGCTGCTGGCCAGCTTCGTAGGGATCTTGGCGGACAAGCGCAAGCAGGCGAGGGGCTGGTGGCACGAGGGGTCGTGCGCGCGAGGGAAGCCGTGGCAGTCGCTTGGGAAGCCCTGCGACCACTTCAAAGATTTCAAAGGCAAGGTGTTGCAGTAGTGCCCTTTCTCACCCGTTTCTTCTTTGGGGGAGGGTTCCCCTACTAGAATAATAGGCTACAGAAAAAGGGTACCCTTATTCTATCCTCTCCACTGGAGGACCTAGAAGGGGTTTTCAGAACTTCTTGGCAAACTGCGACCACTTCAAGGGAGGGATCTTGAGTCAAGGAACTTTTTTTGTTTGAACTTTGTGCGGGTCAGTTCGAACTGTTGCTTGGGATTTGGGGACAGTCCTCGGGGAGGGTGAGGTTTCTAGCAAAGAAGCAGGCCAGCAGGCACCCCAGCTGGCAATCGTTTCGCGAAGTGTGGTGTGTACACCAGGCTAGTTTTTTTTTTTTTTTTGGGGGGGGGGTTCTTTCAATGTTTTTTTTCAAAGGGCAGACTAAATTCAAAATCGAATCATTTCGGGGTACTCCAGATGTTGGCCAAGAATTTAGCTGCGCCACGAGACAACTGACGTGTTTGCAATTTCTGACGAGCCAGCAACTCCAATATTCTTGTATTGTTTTGTGCAACCCTGTAGGGGAGGGGGAACATGATATACCTGAACGCTCATTTTTGCATGTTTGCTCTGAACAAGTCACCGAAGAATCGCTCTTCATGTCGAGGGCTGTCCAAAGCGAGTCGACCTTTTGACTTCTTTTTTTTTCGTTGGCAATCTTTAGGCTGTTTGCTGGTTGTTGTCTTTATCATCAAAGTCAAGCCTCAAACAAAGTGTGAAGTTTTCTGACTAGTCGCCACAGGTCACTTCCCAACAGAGAATCAATTATTTCAAATGTTGATTCCCCATTCTTTTCAACCATCGTTCTTTCCAAAAACCGGCTGTTTTCCCTGGGGATTCCGAAGGTTTTCTAGAAAGAAGGATCCCTGGAAAGAATGGGGAAGGTACCCCTGAATTATTCCTGGGCCCAAACTGGACAGCAGGTGACCGCCAGGGACCCTTCGGGGGTTGACCTGGGCCGGAGCCGAGCGAACCCACCGGCGCAAAGGATGAGAGAAACTCGTCGCAGGTTGGGACGCTGCAGCACCGCTACAGCGTGGGCGCGGCTCTCAGATCCGGGGAGACCCGGGTGCCGGTTGTGAGTTGGCGCCTGTTTTGGTGCCGTTCCAAAGGGAAGCCAGAGGGCTTTGTTGCGGGGGTCCCCCTATGTTAAGACCAAGCCCAAGAGTTCGAAGATCCCAAAAGGAAGCCAAAAAAGAGAAACTAAATAAAAAAGAGAAAAATCGTATCCCGCGTCAAAACAAATCTGCCGTCCAGCCTTGATGGCCTGGGTCGCATGAGCATTGGGGTGTGTGTGTGTGTGCGCGCGCGCATGTGTGCCGGTGTTTGTTTTGTTTGTTTGTGTTTTTGTTTGTTTGGTTGGTTGGTTCGTTGGGTGTTTGGTTGTTTGGTTGGCTGGCTGGCTGGTTGGCTGGTTGGTTGGTTGGTTGGTTGGTTGGTTGTTTGTTTGGTTGGTTGGCTGGCTGGTTGGCTGGTTGGTTCGTTGGGTGTTTGGTTGTTTGGTTGGTTGGCTGGCTGGTTGGCTGGTTGGTTGGTTGGTTGTTTGTTTGTTTGGTTGGTTGGCTGGCTGGTTGGCTTGTTGGTTGGTTGTTTGTTTGTTTGGTTGGCAGGCTGGTTGGCTGGTTGGTTGGTTGGGTGTTTGGTTGTTTGGTTGGTTGGCAGACTGGTTGGCTGGTTGGTTGGTTGGTTGGTTGTTTGTTTGGTTGGTTGGCTCGCTGGTTGGCTGGTTGGTTGTTTGTTTGTTTGTTTGTTTGGCTGGCTGGTTGGCTGGTTGGTTGGTTGGTTGGTTGTTTGTTTGTTTGGTTGGTTGGCTGGTTGGCTGGTTGGTTCGTTGGGTGTTTGGTTGTTTGTTTGGTTGGCAGGCTAGTTGACTGGTTGGTTGGTTGTTTGTTTGGTTGGTTGGCTGGCTGGTTGGCTGGTTGGTTGGTTGTTTGTTTGTTTGGTTGGCAGGCTGGTTGGCTGGTTGGTTGGTTGGTTGGTTGGTTGTTTGGTTGGTTGGCAGGCTGGTTGGCTGGTTGGTTGGTTGATTGTTTGGTTGGTTGGCTGGTTGGTTGGTTGGTTGGTTGGTTGGTCGGTTGTTCGTGTGTGATTTTGAGGGTTCTCTTTTCAGCAAGGGAGGTCACAAGAAATCCCCACCGTCTTGAGGTTACCCCATGCTTGCACATTCCACAAATCCCCTTCTCTGATGTGAAATCAAGTTGTAAAGTCTAAAGTTTAAAGCCATCAGATTCAAGTCTTGCCTTGTGTCTGTTTTTTCGGACCTACTAGCCGACACTCCCAACTCCCTCAATTCTCTCAACCCCGTGAGTTTCCTACAGTTTGTTGGCTGTGTGTCTCAAGCTAGTGGAAACCTCAAACGGGAGATCATGAAAGTCCCCTTTGATTCAAGTCACAAAACACCGTAAAACCTGGTGTTTTGTAGCATGTTTCATGTTAAAATCACATCCCCACCAACACCCGGTCTCTTTCAATTTCCCTTCAGCACAAATCCACAAGGGCATCCTTCAGAAGCATGACCCCTGGGTCTGCCTCAGGCCTGGGCAAGATTGGGGACGCGGAGGAGCAGGTCACGGGGCTGCAGCAGATGCTGGTGGAGAAGAAGCGGGGGCCCCGGGGATCTTCTCAGCTCCGATGCTCAGCTACATGGCTGTTGTTGTTACACATGTTTACATGTTTGCTTGTTGCGGTCTAGTGGTTGAAATCCGAATCCACTGAACTGCCACAACTTGATTTTTTGTTGCTCCCCTTCCAACCTCAACCAAGAGAAACTGCGCCCTGATGTTTCATTGGAACTCCGAGACGGTGAGGCCGAAGAGGTTGAAGTAAACCAAACATCTTCTCCAACCTTCCTCTGCCCAGCTTGGACCTGGAAATAGGTGGGGATTGCCTTTCGGGACCTCTGAAGGCGGTGGCCAACAAGGGAACACCAAAATGTCAGAATGTCAGATCCGGTCGATCCGTATATATTATTTATATGCTACTTTTTGGGTCTGGACAATATGAAGCGCACGACTTGTCGCAAAAAGTCGTCAAAAGGTCAACACTTTCCGTGTTTTCGACTTATCGATTTTTCTTCTTCTTTTTTTCTCCGATTTGCAGAGGTTGCTAGTTGGTGGCCCCAGTATTGAGATTGCATCCTTCCTTTCACGGCAGGCTCTCATTGGCAGAATCCCACAGAACTTAGGCCCGCCCATTGCCGCTTGATCATGAGTCCTTTTGCACCTGTCTCCGCACCGCTCCCGGTGTCTCAAGGGCATGGCCTATCCCGCCCGGCCATGCTTCTACATCCATGGATGATGCCTTAATCACAAATGAGCCAGGTTCAAAACCCGGGAAAGCAAAGGCTAGTAAGGGATAGTCCAAACCATAAATGGGAACAGCCGCCGTGTTGCTTCTTTTCATGGTTTCGGGGGTAGAGCATTTTGATACCAGAAAATTTCCACAACGATTCAACTAGCGGGAGAAAACGCCTCACAAACTGGCGCGAAGTTGGATCACTTGGCCCGTCATCGCCCGTCATCGCCCGTATGACTGCAGGCCGGTCCTGGAAAAGACGCAGAAAGAGGTGGGGGACATGATGGCACGGGGCCCAAACACCCCACCGCAGCTTGCAGTCGCGGCAAATTCGCGGTTGCCTATTGGCACCCCCTTTGGTTTTTGTGCCACCCAGGGGCTCCCGACGGCTTTAGGGCCTTCAAACAACCTGGTTTTGAGACCCCCAACCACCTCGGGTGTTTCATGGAGGGGTCGGGTCTTCCATTGAAAGCCCCAGGAGCCTTTGGGCAGGGAGGGGTTGCCCTTAACATCAATTGTGGGTGGCGGGCCCACGGCCGTTCAGCTCGGTTCCTGAGGTTGGTGAACCATTGGCTGTCGAACCCCGGGTTTGCAGGGACCTGTTTGGTCATGTTTGGTCGTTTGAAGTGCCTTCGCACGAGTTCGCATACGCTTGGCTTGCAAAAAAGTGTGCGGCTTTTTGATTTCTGAAAGCTGCCCATGCCATTCTCGCCTACCAGTCGCCTTCACCGATGGAGGCCATCTTTCAACTTGTAGCCGTAGCCTATGGCTAACTCCAAGCGTGAGATACTGGTAACCCCACCCCGCCCTTCCTTTCGAAGAGCATCCAAGGGTCCAGCCTCCCGAGGTGGTGATCACTCAAGACAAGGCTGAGGCTGAAGAGGTCAGCAAGGCACGAGAAGACTTCCTCACTAGAGGACTCGTAGAGGGGGGCATAATGTCACTTCAATGGACACACTGGTTTGTTGTTGTTTTCGAAGGAAACTGTTTGGTGCTGTTGCGCCTTTTTTCCTCTTCTCTCCTTTTCTTTTTTTAGTTTTTTTGGGGGGGAGGGGCGGAGAGGTGCTTCAGAGGGACTCATGAGACCTTTTTAGTGGCAGGCAAACAGTTTGGACTTTTGTGGCCGATCTACTCAGGAAGCAAGACAAGGCGCTTCCTGTGGTTTTGCCGAGCGAACCAAGATAGATATTCCACGCCTTACCATAACTAACAAAGAACCCCAAACACATGTGCAGGGTCAGCCGGGTCAGCTGGTAAAAAGGCGGGGTGGTCACTCCTTGCAACCGCTTGGCAAGTTGAAGTTGGTGCTTCTTAGCCTCGCACCTGGCCCGGGCCCCACTGGCCTTTGGGGTGTTAGCCTCGTGCGAATGGGCTGGACTCCCATTGCCCTCTCTGAAGGAACCAGAAATCCGTTCAAATCCAAATCCAAACCAATCCGAAGCACCCACTCACGGCCTCATGTTGGACCCCATTCGGGTCCAAATCGATTCGGGTCCAAATCGCGCCAAGCTTCGCTTCCTCTCGCCAGGCTGTTGCAGCGGAGGAGGCCTCGGCCGCACAGAAGGCCGAAGAGACGCAAGCGATCAAGGACCCTCGGGTTTGGGTGGCCTGTCCCCGAATGGTGAGAGGTCGGAGGTGACCAGCCTCGTTCGACTGAGGGAATTTCAGAGCCACCATATGTGCGAAAAAGGCGTAAGGCCAAGGCCTGTTCCCTTTGAGCCAACCTTAAAAAGGCATCCAACAAATTTCCGCCACGTACATTGTCTGTGGGTTGCTTGACATGAAACAAGTCAGACGAATGCGTTTCATCCGCGGCCATTGTTTTTCCCTTTTGGGCCAGAATAAACATCGCCGTTTGGTCTGTGCACCACCTACTAAAGCCTGGAATGATGATACCCCTTAAATACCAACGCGCAATGGTTTCGCATGTTTTCAAAGTGGTGCAGGATTTCGTCCATCCACAGTAGGGTGTTTCTTCTTGTCGTCGTCGAGGGACCGCCTTTGGGCATGCGAGGACGATGCACAGCGAGACCTAGATGAAGCACTCCCTGCATTGGACCAAGCAGCCGGGAGCCCCACTCTTGAGGCGCTCCACCGGGGTTGACTGCAGCATCCCAGTGACAACATGTGACAACTGACATGGAATCTGACTGGGGAGTCCTGAAAGGCAATGTTCCTCGAAAATTTCTACTTATGTCGGGAGGAGTGGGGTTAGAGGGAGCCCGTAGAAGGATGCGACAGATGGTCCCTTCAGGCATTTATCCAATGAAGGAACCAGTTGTTGGGTTCCATGTGAGTGGCTGAGAGGTAACTCGGAGTCCTGGTTGAACCCTTCAAAAGCTGGAAGAACTTGCATCCCCTGAGCATCAAGCCACACAGGTTCAATGCCAAGAGCAAGGAGAACATGGTTGCTTGTTTTGACCTTGGCAAGCATTCCGTCTTGGCTGCTATTGAGTTGGATCTTTAGGTTTTTAACATTTAGGTTGAAATCAAGGGGGTTTTCCGCTAAACCCCCAAAAGTTAAACACTTTATGCAGGGGGTCGTTGAAGGGCTCAGTCAGACTTGGGTCAAGTATGATCCCAGCGCCCCCAGTAGTGCCCTTTTACTCTTTTTTGGGGGAGGGTTCCCCTAGTAAAACAGACTACAGACAAAAGGGTACCCTGATTCTAACCTCTCTACTGGAGGACGTAGGGGGAAGCTGCCTTCAGCTAGAAACGGGTAGGCCGTTTTCGGCGTTTGGTTCGGCGTGTCTGTGGTGAGGAGTGTTTTTGTTGAGCCAAGCGCCCGCAGCCCGCAAGGAAGCTGTAGAGCGCAGATTCCGTTGTTGCCTTGCCAACCCTGTGATTCCATTTACCTGTATAGCAGGTAACCAAGGGAACCAGCCTTTAGGAATCAAAAGGAAAATTGTTGGTTACCTATAGTCGCAACTGAGAGCCACTGGGCAATGCAAGCGACATGTCATCACACTTCTCCAAGGTGGAATGCCTCAAGAAGCTCAAGAAGGCTGGGTCTGAAGCTCATGCGGGTTGAAAGGAAGAGAGGGATACACATGTTTGTATCTATATGGGTATGCATATGGATATATATATATATGTATTAATCTGTTTGGACGGCCAGTACTAACCGGCCAGTACTAACCTTTTCCATTCAGGTCATGACGAGAAGATACGATTCCAC